CGCGAGTAGGAGTTGTTCACGGAGCTCCAGCAATCCCTCAGCAGAGCTCGGCGGGACAAGGAGAGCGCAACCTGGAGCTGCCACAGCCGCTGCTGAAGGATTTGGAGGATCACGCCACTCACGCCGCTCACGCCACTCACGCCACTCACGCCACTCACGCCACTCACGCCACTCACGCCACTCACGCCACTCACGCCACTCACGCCACTCCCGCCACGCCCGCCACTCCCCCCACGCCCGCCACTCCCGCCACCCCCGCCACTCGCCCCACCCGCCCCACTCGCCCCACTCGCCGCACTCGCCCCACTCACCCCACTCGCCCCACTCACTCGCCCCCTCGCCCCACTCGCCCCACTCGCCCCACTCCCACTTGCCCCACTCGCCCCACACGCCCCGCTCGCCCCCCTCGCCCCCCTCGACCCGCTCGACCCGCTCGCTCCGCTCGCTCCACTCGCTCCACTCGCTCCAGTCACTCCACTCGCTCCACTCGCTCCACTCGCTCCACTCGCTCCACTTGCTCCACTCGTTCCACTCGCTCCACTCGCTCCACTCGCTCCACTCGCTCCACTCGCCCCACTCGCCCCACTCGCCCCGCTCGCTCCACTCGCTCCACTCGCCCCACTCGCCCCACTCGCTGCACTCGCTCCACTCGCTACGCTCGCTCCACTCGCTCCACTCGCTGCGCTCGCTCCACTTGCTCCACTCGCTCCACTCGCTTCACTCGCTGCACTCACTGCACTCACTGCACTCACTCCACTCACTCCACTCACCCCAGTCACTCCACTCACTCCACTCACTCCACTGTCCACTCAGTCCACTCACTCCACTCACTCCACTCACTTCACTCAGTCCACTCACTCCACTCACTCCACTCACTCCACTCACTCCACCCACTCCACTCCACCCTCCACCCACTCCACCCACTCCACCCACTCCACCCACTCCACCCACTCCCCACTCCACCCACTCCACCCACTCCACCCACTCCACCCACTCCACCCACTCCACCCACTCCACCCACTCCACCCACTCCACCCACTCCACCCACTCCACCCACTCCACCCACTCCACCCACTCCACCCGCTCCACCCACTCCACCCACTCCACCCACTCCACCCACTCCACTCGCCCACTCCACTCGCCCGCTCCACTCGCCCAGTCCGCTCGCTCGCTCCACTCGCTCCACTCGCTCCACTCGCTCCACTCGCTCCACTCGCTCCACTCGCTCCACTCGCTCCACTCGCTCCACTCGCCCCACTTGCTCCACTCGCCCCACTCGCCCCACTCGCCCCGCTCGCCTCACTCGCCCCGCTCGCCCCACTCGCCCCACTCGCTCCACTCGCTCCACTCGCTCCACTCGCTCCACTGGCTCCACTCGCTCCACTCGCTCCACTTGCTCCACTCGCTCCACTCGCTCCACTCGCTCCACTTGCTCCACTCGCTCCACTCGCTCCACTCGCTCCACTCGCTCCACTCGCTCCGCTCGCTCCACTGGCTCCACTCGCTACACTCGTTCCACTCGCTCCACCCACTCGCTCCAGCTCCACTCGCTCCACTCCCTCCACGTGCACCGCGCGCTCCGCGTACTCCACGCGCTCCACGCGCCCCACGCGCTCCACGCGCTCCACTCGCTCCACGCGCTCCACACGCTCCTCTCGCTCCACTCGCTTCACTCGCCCCGCTCGCTCCACTCGCTCCACTCGCCCCACTCGCTGCACTCGCTCCACTCGCTCCACTCGCCCCACTCGCTCCACTCGCTCCACTCGCTACGCTCGCTCCACTCGCTCCACTCGCTGCGCTCGCTCCACTTGCTCCACTCGCTCCACTCGCTCCACTCGCTCCACCCACTCCACTCACTCCACTCACTCCACTCACTCCACTCACTCCACTCACTCCACTCACTCCACTCACCCCACCCACCCCACTCACCCCATTCACCCACTCACTCCACTCACTCCACTCACTCCACTCCACTCCACTCCACTCCACTCCACTCCACTCCACTCCACTCCACTCCACTCCACTCCACTCCACTCCACTCCACTCCACTCCACTCCACTCCACTCCACTCCACTCCACTCCACTCCACTCCACTCCACTCCACTCCACTCCACTCCACTCCACTCCACTCCACTCCACTCCACTCCACTCCACTCCACCCTCCACTCCACTCCACTCCACTCCACTCACTCCACTCACTGCACTCCACTCCACTCCACTCCACTCGACTCCACTCTCCACTCTCCACACTCCACACTCCACACTCCACACTCCACACTCCACACTCCACACTCCACACTCCGCTCGCTCACTCACTCACTTACTCAGTCTCTCTCTCTCTCTCACTCTCACTCTCACTCTCACTCTTACTCTCACTCTCACTCTCACTCTCATTCTCACTCTCACTCTCACTCTCACTCTCACTCTGACTCTCACTCTCACTCTCACTCTCACTCTCACTCTCACTCTCACACTCTCACTCACTCACCCACCCAATCACTCACTCACTCACTCACTCACTCACTCCCTCCCTCCCTTCGCTCGCTCGCTCCTCACTCACTCACTCACTCACTCACTCACTCACTCGCTCGCTCGCTCCCTCACTCACTCACTCACTCACTCACTCACTCACTCACTCACTCACTCACTCACTCACACACTCGCTCACGCACTCACTCACTCACTCACTCACTCACTCACTCACTCACTCACTCACTCACTCACTCACTCACTCACTCACTCACTCACTCACTCACTCACTCACTCACTCACTCACTCACTCACTCACTCACTCACTCACTCACTCACTCACTCACTCACTCACTCACTCACTCACTCACTCACTCACTCACTCACTCACTCACTCACTCACTCACTCACTCACTCACTCACTCACTCACTCACTCACTCACTCACTCACTCACTCACTCACTCACTCACTCACTCACTCACTCACTCACTCACTCACTCACTCACTCACTCACTCACTCACTCACTCACTCACTCACTCACTCACTCACTCACTCACTCACTCACTCACTCACTCACTCACTCACTCACTCACTCACTCACTCACTCACTCACTCACTCACTCACTCACTCACTCACTCACTCACTCACTCACTCACGCTGTGGCAAGGGTGCTGTGTGAAAGGCCCCTATTTTGCTCGGCAGGCGCAACACTTTGTGACTTGGCGTTCAGATCGCGTGGCAGGGGCATCATTTGGTGAGCGCAGGTGTACGATTGCATGGCAGGCTGCAGCGTTCGGTGTTGGTTGAAAGGATTTGGTCTTGCGCTGCACGCGCTTCGTGGCCCCCATTGTGCGGCGCAGTGTGACTTGGCGTGCAGATCTCGTTGGCAGGGGCGACGTTTGGAGCTTTGTAAAGGGGCTTGGTGTTGCTTCGGGCCACGGTCGCGTGGCAGGAGCAGCAGTTGGTGCGCTCCCAAAAACAACGTTGCGCTGCGCAGTTCGCGGCCCCCATTTGCGTGGCAGGCGCAGCACTGTGTAACTTGGCATGCAGATTTCGTGGCGGGGCCAGCATTGGTGAGCTCGGGCGTACGATTGCGAGGCAGGGGCGGCATTTGGTGCTGGCCTGATTCCCATTGCGCGTGCATGCGCAACACTTTGTGATTGGGCGTGCAGATTTCGTGGCAGGGGCGGCATTTGCTGAGCACGGGCGCACCGCGCGCGCATCGGGGCCCCCATTTTTGCGTGGCAGGCCCAGCACTTTTGGGCGTGCAGCAGATTGCGTGGCAGGGGCAGCATTTGGTGAGCATGTGTGTACGATTATGCGGCAGAGGCGGCATTTGGTGCTCTCTACAGGGGCTTGGTGTTACACTGCGCGCGGACTCGTTAACAGGAAGTAGCAATAGCTTGCTAACTGTTCACTCTTACTCATCTCAACTCTCACTCATCTCAGTCAAATCGTACATGGGAGTCATCCAGCTGATCTTGGTATGAGATGGCTGGGAGTCGCTTGACGCAAACGCGCAACAAGAAAGGGCTCGCAGCAGCAGCTTCACTCATTCCTTCGTTCTTTCCTTCTTGCTTTCTTTCTTTGTCTTTACGCCGCTGGCGTTCTTTCTTCCATGAGCCTTGGTCGAATTCACTGCAAAAACTCGGTCCTTGAATTAGATGCTTGCGCCAGGCTACCATGCGTGGTGCTGGCCCGGTTCTGGCAGCCTTGCAGCAATGCCTGACGCATCTCCTGCGCAGGCCAGTGGCACATTGGGGGACTGGTCCCGGTAACAGGTTAGAGGGGAAGGATGTCCAATGCACAGTTTGTAACCAGCAGGTTTCTGGCAGCTGATTGACGCGTGAAAAGTCCAAGGCTTGTGGATGCCGAGCAGCGCAGCGCGAGCCTGGCTGCTTGGGTGCCCAGAATAGGCTTCTATTTGGGCACTAGGCCAGTCTTTCTGAGGTCGCTGCTGGCCAACTTCTTTGGCAGCACCAACTGCTCTCTGAGAAGGAAGGGTAACCGGGTCTCGATTTTGGTGTTTTTAAGCTCTGACGCAGGACCTGCGCCACCTTTCACGCTTCCTCAACAGCCGCGTGCTGCAAACCCTGCAGCCACGCTCTCGATTCAGCATGGCATCTCAGAGCTTGTTGAGCTGATCAGTGTCCCAGGCTGCAGCGGAAGCATGGCAGACAAAGCAGGTGCTGAGATTCATTGCATTTCTTTTGCAGAGCGGTGTGTTCACTGCTCAACTATCCCAATGCTTGCATTGCAAGGACTGTGCTGGAGCCCGTGCCAATTCTTCCAGCGCCGCTCGTGAAGTGCACGGCCGCGGATCTGGGCTTGGCGCAAAAATCAGTTTCTGCGCTCTGTCATTCTTCGCTGCAAGCTACACAAGAAACCGGGGTGAGGCATGACAATCAGAGGGTTGTCAGTTTGCTTCAAGTTTGACCCACGTGAGAGGAAACGTTGTTGGAAGGGTCTTGTGAAGTGTTTACACTGCCATGAACCTTTGAACCCCCTGAGCAATCGTTGCCTCCAAGGCCACAGCAGACTGTTCAAAGTTTCCTGCTCGAAGGTCCTGAGGTGCAGAGAGTCCTGCGAGGCGTGATAGCTTGAGCCCCTGTCGTTGCACAGGGTCCTCCGACAGCTCGTGATTCAAGGAGAATGGCGCGATCGCGGGGGCCCTGAAGCCACAGCCTTCGCAGGATTCACAGAAGGAGTGGTGTGAAAGCCAAAGAAATGAATGACGCTCATTTGTGCTTCTAGCAGGTGTGTGGGTTGGTGGGTTCCTAACTTCTTTTCCCCCCGTCCAACTCCTGACTTCTCTATCTCTGCCCCTCTCTCTCTCTCTCTCTCTCTCTCTGTCTCTCTCTCTCTCTCTCTGTCTCACACTCCCTCTCACACGCTGCCTTTTGCTGTATTGACAGCGCATGGACCCATGCTTGTAGCAAATAATTTGTGACATGATTCAGGACAGAGAGACTATTAGAAAGACATATTTTATGTATGAATGTGTCTGGTTTTGGGTACCCTCAAAAACACACACACACACACACCCATATGTGCAGAGAATCAAGATGAGGTCAGATTGGTTCAAATTGGTTCAGAGGAAAGAACGGGAGAGTTGCTGCGAGAGAGAGAGGGAGAGTGGAGCGTCGTGGACAGCGGGCTGACCGGGGCGGTCTCAGGTGATGTTTGGCGTCAAGCTGTGGGAGTCCTGGGGCACCTCAGCGACGCAAATGTGAAACCAGACCTGCGGATTGTGCAAGGTCCCCAGAGGGCAGCTTTTCAGAACTTGTATGCCTCCCTTTTTGGACACTCCGACACTAGCTTATTGATATTTCAGTAATACATTCTTTCTCGGCGTGGCCGAGGAATCTGGGCCTTCAGATCTGCAAGGTGCGGCAAGGTGTGAGTGTGTGCGTGTGTGTTTGTTCAAGGCCACCAAGAGCAGAGGTCCTGAGCCGCAAATTGCCTTGTTTGGCTTAGCCAGGAATCCCGGGCCGTGAAGCCTGTCTTCTGGACATACGACCAGGCGCTGCGCGAGCGCTTTCGGCCAAATGAGGAGACGTTTGAGGCCTGGCTGACATGGAATGCACATTGTATGAATTCATAAGACTTCCACGGCTGATCTGTCGCAGCTGAAGGGGTGACTGCAATTTGTTGGATATGATTTTATCAACGCGCTGCCTTTCTTGCCATGCCCAAAGCCGGGTCATGCTCTCTCTTGGTTCATGCCTTCCCCGTTTTGTGAGCCAGATCTTGGCATCAAGCTGCGTGGTGGCACCAAGTGAGTGCTGGTGGCGGGCGCTCCGCTACATGAAACAGGCAAGGGCAATGACAACGGCGCGCATGAGGTTGAAATCCGTGCTCTGGCAATGGGCTGTCATTTTTGCCCTAGAGTGATTTCTAGCTCTATGTCTGGTTGGACACTGCATCCCTTGGCAAGGCAGATTATTTTGTTTCAGGTTGATTAAATGGCGCCCCTGCACATTCCTGCGCCGATGAATTTGTAGTAGCAAGATTGGCGACGAGCTTTTGCAGCTGACCTTTGAGAGAATAAGGCACCACTTGATGATGTACACATGCGTGCCAATGCCAAGCTCTTGATACCGCTCAAGCCAAGCACAACTCAACTGCTTTTCTGATTATGCAACCTGCTTGCAAATTATGCTTCGTGATAGAACCATGCCTGCCACGTAATGTTGTATGCGTGGCCTGAGCATTTTGTTTCCGATATGTTAATCTCTCTCCTCCAATTTATCCTTCTTGCACTCGTGCAGGCCAGAGCACTGCTTCCAGATGAGCAGCTGACTGCAGCCATGGCTAAATCAATGAAGGCTGCAACGATAGTGATTGCATTTGCCATGGCGAGATTGTGCCCCCCCACACACACACACACACACACACACACACACACGAAGTGGCCATGATGTGGGATGCTTGGGCTGTTGCAGTGCCAGGCCTGTGTAGATGCTGGGGCCTGGAGTTCAGCACTCTTCCAGTTGGGCGGCGGCCCAAGCTGGAAGCAGCGACCAAACTGCGAGAAGGCCAGGAAACTTGGCGCACCCTTCAAGAGGGCACACAGCACTCTGAAGAAAGCCAAGGTTGCACTTCCAATGGGAATTGGAGAAGGTGCATTCTTGAGGTTCAGAATTTAAGTTGGAGATGGCTGACGTGCCTGGAGTCGTCTGATACTTAGTTGCTGAGGTATCATATCTCAGAGGATTGCGCTTGCAAGCCAATTGTTTTGGGCAGGACGAAGGCCGTGCTTCTTGCGTCTGGAAAGAATGCAACTGAGGCACCAGCGGAGGCCATGCAAGACTACCTTGAGGAGGGTGCTGGCAGAGCTGCGACATTGTCCACCCAGTGTGTTTTGCTGCCAAGCATCATGTGGTACAGAGTGTCTCGCCAACATTTTTTGGCTCCAGCCTGAAACAAAGAACCACAATGAGAGGGAATCTCGCTTGCAACATACCTGATGTTGCCAGCATTGCGAACGAGAAGACTAAGACCAACGACGTCATTTGCTGCAGTATTGTCTTAGAGACGGTATCACCAGGTCAGGGCTCTTTCCCAAGTAATTATCTACTGCGCCATGTTAACTGCAACTACTCAGCTGTCCACGCCTAGCCTCCCTGCAGTCACACCAGCAACTCGCCAGGGTACCATGTGTTTGCGCATCTGAGAACATTATCAAGATAGACTCTTCAATTGAATGAATGCGCATCTTGGTATATCAGCCACAGGCACATTCGAAGACCACCTCTTCAGCGTCGTCTGGTTTTCGCACGGAAGGCAGGGCGGGAATCAAGAATGCCGGATCCCAAGTGCGTTCTTTCTGTGGGAACAAAGCCGAACAGGTGCTGCAAGCCTTCTTAGAACGCTTGCTGAAGCTCCTTTCAGGGGAAGCATGATCTTTAGCCAAGATCGGCTTGACGTTGTAAACGCGAGTGCGCACCACCTTCAGATACGCTGAAGTAAGTTGCAGGGAAGTGCGGATCAGAACTAGGAACTTTGTCGCCTCTGGCTCAGACCGCAGACATGACAGGCCTGCTTTCTTATATGTGTCTTAGAGGTACGGTGTGTGTGTGTGTGTGCGCGTGTGTGCAGGAACCACTCGATTTGGGAAGGGACGTTGGTTTATGTCTCTTTTCCGCAAGAACAACAAAAAAAAAAACATAAACAAACAACACACGCCCCCAGCCAGGCAAGCCAAAGACCCCTACTCAAGTCCTGCGTCGACCTGTTCAAAGGAAAGAATGCAAAAAGGAAAACATGAAGCATCAACAGAACAGAAGTTGGTTGCATCGGTACCCCCCTTCAGCTTCTTACCTATGTCCTTTGCTACATTGCTACACCCGCTCACGCGTGAAATACGTGTCTGACAATGATTCGGCCCCAACACCCATCTCTGCGCATTGCCCTTCCGGAGGTGAAGAATCCGGACTTTCCGGAGGGGCTTGGCTGGTCCCTCTTCATAGACTAAATCCTTTCATCCCCCCCGAAGAACATTGTCCAACATCATCAGCATCGCTTTTGCATCATCAGCATCACCATTTCGGCATCACCTGCATCACCAGAGAGACGCTCGTAGGGTCAGGTCAACGGAAAGGTCACACGTCTTGCGTGGACCTTTCCCAAATGACCGAAGAAATTGCAAACAAACACCTGCCATCATCCCCACATAGGAAAAAGACCGGCCCCTGCGCCGACTGATGATGAAAAGCAAGCGTTTCTGCGTGAAGCTTGTCTTGCGTCCCCAACGCCGTTTGTTGTCGGCGGATATTTTTTTCGCTTTGTCCCCTCGAAGCTGCAAGGCCGGGCTGCCCTGTGCACCTTGAGCGCTTTGAGCGTCGGATTCCTTCCATGCCGTCGCTTGAGGGCAGGGGCAAGGCCTGGGATTCTATCAGGTGTGGCTGTGACCTCTGCTGGCCTGCGTCCTGGGAGGACAGGGCGACACATTGTGGCCCTCACCGGGGATGCTGACTCGCCACAAATCCTGAGGCCATGGCGTTTTGCCACCTTACACCATGCCGAGCATGGTTTAACGAGCAAGGATTTGCTTGGCCAGCATGGGATTTGCACGAGTGATTTGTTTGGTGACAAGAGGCCCATGCGTTGCATGCAGAAGTACTGAAGCCCTGGTGCAGAGCTGCAGGCAGTGGCGCCATGCTCGTAGACACCTCGTTGCGCTTAGCTACGATGTTACAAGCATGTGCAGATTTGCTGCGGGGACAGCTTCTTTGATCTCATTTTCAAGAAGCCAAGTGATTTTCTCTTAGCAACTGCTGAGGATCCCGGCTGCTCAATAGCTTGGATTGGACTCGCCTGGCTCTTGGGCAATTTCAACGTGATTGCCAGCCATCAGAACAGAGGTTGCTCAAGACTGCGAGGTTGCTCAAGACTGCTAGGTTATCATCTTTGGATCTACTTTGTGGACAGCTGTGAACCCTCCTATGCGCGAGCCAGACTTTGCCGCTTTTTCTTTGAGCGCCTGGTTTGCAATCTCTCGGGATGCGAAGGCACAAAGCCCCAGGAAAGCACATAATCGGCAAAGCTGCAAAACATTCGGATGGATCTCTTTTTTGGCAACGCATTCGGATGTGGCCACGGTGAGTCAGTGCATCAGTGCGTCCATGCCTTTCAAGGAAGGTCTGCCAGGGTCACGACAGTGCCTCGCTGCTATACTGCGCTGCTGGTGGCCTTGAGACCACGCAGCGGGACGGGAGGGGTCTGCCGGTCTGCCTTTCAAAAGCGAGTCGGTTTCGACTTGCAGTTGCGAATATCGACTTCAGTTTGCAGTTGCGAAGCGCGGAATGCCTCTGGCTAGCTCTTCAGGAGGAGGCTGGGCTTGAAGTCGCTTCAGCTGTGCCTGACATGCACGCCGCGCCTTGGCAACCAAATCGCAACATAGCAACAAGATCTTCATGCTGCCCCACATCAGGATGACTTGCAGAATCTCAGTCTGCCTCCGTTTACCTTCGTTCCGAACGACTTCAGCATGTACGATGTGATTGTGGCTGCTGATGAGGCCTTGCTCTTGTTCGCGATCTTGCTTTGGGTCGTGTTCTTCTCGTGAAGATGTGTTCCAGGTTAGCTTAAAGGCTTCGCATTTTCCTAGTCCCCTTATGCTCTTGCCAAAAGTAGAAGCGAGGCTGTCACAATTGTAGCAGCAAATGGAAAGTTGGTGGCGGAGGCAACAGCACAGCAAATTCGCCGTCAGCTTCCGCAGCATGACCGTGACGAGCTTTGCGCCACTCGGAAGGCTAGCGTGACAGTGGCATGTGTGCTAGCTGGTTGCTTGTGCGGGCTGGAAGAGACATGAATCCCTTCTGAAAAACCATGGCCCCAGGTACGAGTGTTGACCAAGTCCATACAGGAGTAATGCTGTAATGGTTGATACCATGGCACCGTTGCTCACTTTTGCCAAGGTATTGAGTGATTTCGTGGATGCTTATGACGTTCTCCGAGAAGTGGAGGAGGAGTGTTCGCTCCTTCTCATGCAGTCTGTCTATGTGCACTGATCCGAATCCTGTCAGGCAGAAGAAGGTGCTGTTATGGAGGCTACGAGTGGGGCACCAGGGCTGTCAAACACAGCTCCTCAGATGAGATCTGCCATGGGCTTGTGAAGTTGGTAGAAAGTGTTTGCTTCTCACAGATCGCATGCCATTGCATCCAAGACCAGTCCGGACTGCGTGTAGAGTCGGCTTGGGTCGATGCATTAAAATAACAAATGCAGCCACCTGCATTTATTGAGCCCCACTTGAGAGGCTCAGAGGCTCGAGTGTGCGCGCGGGCCCACCTTAAGGCTCAGCGCCTTGGGCCGCTGCGTGGCGCGCCGCTGCCCACGCCAGTCGGGCCAGCGCTGAGCGGCCTGCCGGAAGCATGGGAGGATGGGCCCAAAGCTGCAGGCTTTCGTCATTGCAGTTTCCGTACGTCATCATATTGTCATCATATTGTCCATACTGTCACTCTAAGGAGCATTGAGTGCTCATGATACTGCCATGTCTTCTCGTGCACTTGTGCTTGCTTGAAGGCAAGCTGGCCAAGCACATTTTAACAACGTGCGAATGCTACGCCCCAACTGCGTATATCAGAACAGGCCGAATACTTTTGCTCACTTGCCATCATCTAATGCATTTGGGGCAGCGATTTGCCGTCGACGGCGCCTCGTTGCCGCGCCAAGACGCGGGTTTCTGACAATTGATGCTATATACGGTCTGCCCTTTGCCAGCTAGACATGCATTGCAGCTTCCGAGAAAGGCGCTGCTCGTGTTGTGGTTGGTGGTAGGTAGCTGTGCGTGTGAAAGTTGCTGATGCTACTGAGTACTGAGATAAGGTGCTGGCGACCCAATCGAATTAGCTTAATGCCAGAGGGTCGATGATGCATGCTGGCCTTTTGTTTGGTGCATGTTGCAGTTTCTACTTGCGCGCAGGAGCTGTGGACAGAAGCCCAGAGACCCTTGGCAATAGTTTGTTTCACAGACTTGAAGACACTCCAGTGTCTTGGTCCAACCATACACCTACCAGACCCCCCATGCAAAAAATCGGTGCAATTTCCTGTGCCACGGTTGAGGCAGCCAGAACAAGAATGTGAGCATACCCACATCAACGGAGGGCTATGGTTAGACGCGCCATTGCGACCCTTCCGTTCCTTTCTGGGTGATCTGTTGATTTCTTGAATGTCAGAATATACCAACTGACAACTTCGGTGCGAGCAACCAATGGTACTGGTAGGATGAGGTATGACCTGCTGAGGAAGTGTTGATGCCATGCCTGGAGAAGAGCCAGGAGACTTTTGCAACAGTTGATGCCAGCAATGGATACACTGTCTTGGCAATTCTTTGCCAGGACTTGATCATCCTGTAGAAGAAGCTGGCCGGATCCTGCATTCTATTGTTGGCCTGGAGCGCTGTTTGCGGGCAGCGTGGCAGCATTTGAGCTTAGCAACCCAACAGATTGCAGTCCCTGCTGCCACATCATCCTGGGATGCACGCAATATCACAATTGCAAAAACATAGCTGCCAGTGTTCGCCGCAATCATACCAAGATGCTATGTTTGCGTGATTGCCCAGGCCAGCATCCCCCAGGACATGCGCTGGTGGAATGATGAGGTGTAAAGCTGATACTTTTATGAAGTCGTTGCAGAGGCTGGAGGCTAGTGCCCACTGCATTAGCGGCTGAGCCATACTTCCATCTCATTCAGCCATCCTTTGGTTCCCATGCTAAGCCTCCCAGGCCAACGAGCCCACATGGAAGTCCCAATCCCACGAGTCGTCGGCTGGGTGGCGAAGCTTTGCGTTTGAACTCGTGGGGCCGCTGGCTGTGTAAGCCTCTGGCCACCACTTAAGCCCAGCAAGCTGCACGGGAATCCTCAACTGTGCGGAAGGGAGGCGAACTCCAAAACACGTTGTGATCCCGAAGAGTTGCTGGCGCATTGGTTCCATAGCCAGACTGGCCTTTGGAGATGCGGCCTCTGCGCTTGAGCTCTCCAGAGGCTTGTGGCGGCTTGTTCCGTTGGGCCATTTTCCACGCCGTGCAAAATGCCTATAGCGTTCCCGCAATGCTCCTAGTCAGGAAGGAATGCCTGGGACGCACTGCTGGACTCAGCACCTCGCAAAAGATATGATTACGTATTGCAATGTCAATGTCAGCCAACATTGACCGTGGTAGTTTGCTGTCTTGGAATCAGTGAACGCAGGCAGGCAGGAAGGAAGGCAGGCAGGCAGGCAGGCAGGCAGGCAGGCAGGCAGGCAGGTAAACAGGCAGGTAAACAGACAGCCAGACACACACACACACACACATACACACTGTGAGCAGCTCCCCAAATGACCCTGATTGTTTTTGTAATTTTGGGGCTGAGCTGCAGCTGCTTCCGTGCTTCCACCAAATGAGACTTCGCAATGGCGAAGTGAAGACGAGCGCTTGGAAAACCGCTTGGATCGTGGACGGGACTGTGCAGATAATCAGATTGGCATTGGCAAAGCAGCAACTCTTCGCCGATGGCACTTGGGCGGCGAGGCCATTTGCCAAGGGCCGTTGTCACGCCAAGGCAGACTTGTGCACGTGATGTTGTGACGATTTTGGAACATCAGAGCCCATCAGGGGCTGATAGACAGCAGATTCAAGGCAGGTCCAATCACAGGCAGTCTAGTTTACGTCTCCACTCCTTTCTTTCAATTTGCCTTTTACGAAACCGTGAGTTTGGCAGTTCCGGCCAGGTGCGCACAGTCGCAGGCCTCGTGCTTGGTCTGCGCTTTGGTCCGCGGAGAAGGTGCTAGTTGCCTTGCATTGTCCCTGAGACTTCAATCATGGGTCATATATACCCTTGCGACACCTGGGCTTAAATTCATCAGCGATTGCCGAAAGCTGCCCCCATCACTTGGCGCAAGCTGGAGACTCGTGTGGCACTTGCTAGCACGTCAACGCTCTCGGCTTCTTGCGCAGTTGCCAGTGCGTCGATTCCAGCGCCGCAGACTAGTACAAGGCTGGCGTGGCAGCGAGCATGTATGAAGTGAACCATGCTTCACAGTCCGACCCTCGCAGCTGGGTCATAGCCAGTTTTCCCAGAAGTTTCGCCAAGTAGGATCTAATTCGGAGTCTGCGCGGCAGGGAATGCACCTCCTGAGATTGAGAAGCAGGCGGGGTTTGGAGTGGCTTGGGGCTTGTCCAGCGCGACGGCCTCGATGGCCTCAGGTTGCACAGCTCCAATACCTTCGCCATGCCCGACCGGATTGCTGGCCTGGGCTGCCGGGGTGCCTGAGGCGACAGAATCCAGGTTGGCATTTCCTGCATAGAAAGAGTCTTGAACACGTACTGTATCTGGTAAAGCATGGTGTGTAGATTCTTGTTGGGGAGGGAGGCTGAAGGATTGAGTGACCAAAAATCCCATCACGTCATTGATTTGTTGGGCGTAGTGCATGGGGCGGGATGGAATGCCTTGCAGCGTTGCCACTGACCGCCAAGTTCAGATGACGTCCAGCAAAGCTTCAACAAGATGTTTCAGCAGCGAGTGCGGTTGCAGGATGATGACCAGGACTTCAGGGATTGGGTGCGGTATTGGAGGCGGACAGAACATGTTGTGATAGGGGTTGCAACTCCGCGTGTTTCGTAATGACAACTTCTTTGATTGTCGGAAAGTCACAAGCAACGGGGACTTGAACACGTAGCTATGCTCAAAGGCTGTGCTATTAGTCGCCACCAGCCGCTTGCCCGATTTGTCGTTTCGTCCTGGGGCAAGTCCATTACTGTAAGTCGGTGGAAGTGGGGAGCCTGTTGTGGCTCATTGTGACGGTGGCCAAGATTTTCACAGACTAACTTTGGGCGAGTGGCTGTAGTGCAAGTGGAAAGCACTACCGAAGAGGTAACCCTATGTGCATTTACAAGTGTACTGTTTTGCAATTGGCGCACGCATTCAGATGCATTTGGGCAGCCCAAACAATCAGTACCCGCAGTTGCGATTGTCTTTTTTTTTGCATCCAGTCCTCCGTCAACAGGTAGTGCACAGAACAAAGTTTCGGAGGTGTGGGTGGCTGACTGATGATTGGCTATTGTTGTGTCGCGCTTCCTATTGTATCGCCGTGCTCAGTGTTGGTTGAAGAAGACTGGAAGTTGGAGAGGATAGTCGCATTGCGGTGGAGTCGGTGAAAGCTCCGCAGCTCGTACCGACTCCCAAGCTGCAACACCAGGAGCTTGAGCTCCTTGGCATCGAGTTGCTTTGCGAAAGCGGTGTCATGCGCAGTGAGACAGTGCAGGCAGGCCGGGGGTGGCAGGCAATGGGATTGCCTTGTGCAGAAAGGCCTTGCGGTCTCTGCAGGTATTTCGGGTTGTGGCACTTCAGTCCGGCCTCGTGCATTTCGATCCACTGGCTCGACTTGCGAGGCGTTTCGTCGAAGCGGCCTGTATCCGTCCTTGCGCGGGCCCGGAGGCAAAGATGCCCTGACAAAAAACAGCATTGAATATCGTTGAACGCCTGTCATGCCCATCTTTGACGGCCATACGATGCCGAATGCTTCGCAGAGCATGACACATTGTGTCTTATGAGAGCTTGCTGCACAGTTGCGCTGGCTCGGAGGCATGCTTTGGTTGCCTGCGGCGAGGGTTTGAGCCATCAATGTGGCCCACATGATGAACATGTTTGTTCAGTAGCGCAGCAAAAGCAATTGCTGAAGAACAATCAAATGCCACTGTTTTGAGGCTGCAAAGGGTGGCGGGCCATCGCTACGCAGCTTCCCTACGCCGGCTCTTCAGTGTTTCAAGTCCCACTGTTTTGAATATTTCGCACTAGGCGACTTGTGCAGGTTTTATCGGTTGCCAGTGCTCTGTCAATCGAACCAACCCCCTGGTTTCGGCTGCATCGTTTGTGGAAGTTCCATTTTGTTGGCGCGTGAGTTCTGAGCTTCCAAGTGATACGAGAGGAGTGTGCTGAGGGGACCCGCTGCTGGGACAGCAACGCGAGCTTGGAGTCCTAGGCGGGTGAGACTTGCCATAGGTATTTTGCCACACGCCAAGCTGACTTCGCCGGGTCTAGGCATGGCATGCTTAATCGTAAACGCTTCGCGTTGCCCGCCTCGGCCAGAGCCGCAGAGAGCTATAGAATGGAAGCCAAGCGAAGGTACAAATTTCTAGGGAATTTGCCTGGTTTCTGGGGGGGGGGACATTTTGCTGGTCTGTTTTTACAGGGGATTTGACAGGTTTCTAGAGGGGAGATTAGAGGGATTTACTTGGTTTCTGCAGGGGGGTTTGGCCGGTTTTAAGGGGAACTTGACCGGTTACCACCAACTATTGAGAGGGGGAATTTGACCGGTTTCTGGCCTGATTTGACTTGAGTTGGACCGGTCTTTACAGGGATTTGATTGGTTTCTAGATGGGAAGTTGACGGGTTTCTCGAGGGATTTGACCGGGACGATCCCCGTGGCGGTGTGCAAGTGCACGCATGCGCCTGGGCTCCGCGGCAGACGCTGCGCCGGTGCCCGCCACTGGCAAGGCGACCATTCTTAGAAGACCCGGCGCAACATGGACCGTGCTCTGGGATTTGATCACTTTCTAGAGGGCAGTTTGGCCGCGTTAGGGGGAATTTGGTTCTGACAAATCCCTTTCTTCAAGATCTGACCTCCCGACTGCTTCCAGGCTCGCTTCAGGACTGGAGGCAGCTGGAGCAGGGGTTTTGTCTGAGGGCGAAGTCTTGCCAAGCTCATCTCTAGGTCTCCATGATAAATCAATGAGTGGGAGGAGCGCCGTTTGTGTTGCAGCAGTTAAAAGCGCTTTGCGTCGCGCAGGTGTGGAGGAGGCTCTCAAGATGCTTGGCTTTCGAAGCGGGCGCTCGCGGAGCGCACGGCCCGGCAGGACTTCACACACTGCGTGGCTTCGCCGGTATCATGATGCTGCAATGCTGATTCCGCACGTTTTTGCCGCGCTGATGTGCACACACAAAAGTGTCCTGGCCAGACCCAATGTTCAACCGCACAATATTTCTCATTTGGGTGAGCGTGTGCACGCTAGACTCAACAGACTCTTGCTTCAGGTTATACAACCTCTAGACGAACCTTCGGCTTTGTGCTTCACCTGTAGCGCCCCCCGCCGGAGCTTTGGGGCGCACACTGCCACCGTCCTCAACACCCTGGCAGGGGTTGCCAGAACTTGACATGGTAGCTGCATTGTTTGCATCGATTGGACCTGAGTTGCGCCTTCATCTGTTTGGGCTTGTTCTGTGTGCATTGCTCTTGTTTTTTGCTGCGTGTCTCCCTGAGCGCTGCCAGATCGTTTGTGGGACAGTCGGTGTCGTGTTGCACGGGGGTTGGGGTCGTGTTTTCCATTCTACCATAGTTTCAATGGGCTTCTCCCGTTTGACCCACCATTATGGATCGATCCATCTCATTGCCATACATATTGTCGGACAATTCTGCTCCCACGCTTTTGAGACCTAACGCCGAACGCGTGTGAAGCGCGCGTGAACAGGGGCATCTATTCAACCCAATCGCAGGCACAGCTGCCTTTCAATTAGGCCGGCCAAGCGCACGGCTGATCATGTTCATGGACTGGACGCCAGCTTGGCTTGTAGCCGCGGCACTCATTTATTTGTTCCCTGGCCAGACATCGTGCGAGATGAACGTGTAGGTGCTTCGTGGCTTGAGTCGCAGCAAAGGCCAGAGGGCCCATTTGTCCGTTCCAGTGATACATCCTTCAAGCGGGCACTTTTCAGAAAAGTGTATGTACGTGCGCCCGTGCATGCGTGTGTGCTAGCGAGCGCGCGTGCGTGCGTGGCGTGGCGTTGCGTTCCGTTGCGTTGCCTGCCGCGTGTGTGCGTGTGTGCGTGTGTGCGTGTGTGCGTGTGCGTGTGCGTGCGTGCGTGCGTGCGTGCGTGCGTGCGTGTGTGTGTGTGTGTGTGTGTGTGTGTGTGTGTGTGTGTGTGTGTGTGTGTGTGTGTGTGTGTGTGTGTGTGTGTGTGTGTGTGTGTGTGTGTGTGTCTGTGTGTTTGTGTGTCTGTGTGTCTGTGTCTCTGTGTGTCTGTGTGTCTGTGTGTCTGTGTGTCTGCGTGTCTGCGTGTCTGCCTCTGCGTCTGCGTCTGTGTCTTGTGGAACAAAGCAGTCCAAGCTCGGAACAAATACAGGTGGCGTACAAATCCTATGTCGTTTTCTTTTACATACTATCGGGACTTTTGGCGCAATTCTAAATCTAAATGAGGATATTGCAAGCCGCAGTGCGGTTGTCGCGTTTGCGCAATCATACTTGAGGAGGACATTTGCCGTTGCCCGGAGGAGAAATCGGTGGCGGCTGGCACTCCAAGGGCGCGCAACGAAGCTGCTGCGCTTGAGGCAGGGAGTTTGCGTTTGTTCCGTATCTTCGTTTCGTACTTGCGGAACCGTGTGATCTTTGGGACGAGCTGTGCTGCAAGGCAGGTTGCCTCTCGTGGCCGACGTCCAGCGCGCCGCTGGCTGCGTGAACATGAAGGCCGTCCGTACAAAGAGACACAAGGGATTTGCCACTCTGAGTGACGGCTCGTCATGGTGAACTGTTTTAAAAGACTCATAGAACTCAATACTTGAGGGACAAGAATTGACAAGCATGCGCGATTCTCCTTGCAAGTTTGGGCGAAAGGAGCATCCTGCACCGCAAAAACCTGCGACAACATGTTCGAACGAGAACCGTCTGTGAATGCCGGCTCTGAGTGACTTTTGCACAGCCAAGCCGCCACTCCTTTTGCCTTTACCATCAATTCACATGTGCTCGCTCTTCGCGTGTCTTTGGACTGGTAATCACTAGGCTCAACGGTCAACGGTTCTTATAAATGCACTGCAATGCAACCAGACTGTTGGTTTTGCTGTTTCTAGACAAAGGGCAATGAACTTCCGTAAAGGGTTCCGAGGCTAGCTCCAAAGGACGGAAGGAATGCACGTGGGCGCAGAAGGCACACGCTTTCGCTTGACGCATGTGGCCAAGCCGGAGAGCCAAATCATGCGGCTCTCATGGCTGATCCTGACCAGTTTAGCATGAGGTTGTCCAAACTTTCTGAATTCAGGGAAGGCGTAAGCTACTCAATAGCCAAAGTTGCCATTTGCTTGTAGCTTCTTTGTCAAGACACACCAAGCAGCCTGATGGGCAACACCCGCCCGTCCGCAGGCTTTGACTTGCAGGCAACCTGTACGCAAAGAGGTCTGCAAGCATCAGTCTGTGACATAAGCTGCAACGTAAGTCCGGGTATGGGTAGCAGCCACCAGGTTGGGATTGGGCGAGGGAAGGGCTGACTGCTGCATTCCCTCAAGATCCCTAAAAAGCGCCCCAACGCACAATGGAATGAGCAGGTGAGTGATGTCAGGCTCACCGTGAGTTCAGGCCAACCTGACATCGGAACACTGATGGCACTTGGCAGCTGACCACGCAGCAAAAGCGCCGTCTTTACTTTTTGGATTCCTGCGTAATGAAGACGAGTCGAGTTTGCATGTCAGCCCAATTAGGGGGTCTGATGAGTTCAATGAGTTTCAGAGCACCTGCAACGCATTGGAAGCAACCTCGTCGAGTGTTTTCCTCAGGCAGCTGTAGCCTGGATCTCATTCCGGCTGGAGCTGTCCGGTGAGGCGAGTTTTGAGTGGCTTAAAGCGCGAATACTAAAGACGAACAAAGTCTCGGACAAAGGGTGCACATATTGAATTGCAAGGTTCTTTGCCTGAGGTGCGAAAGGCTGCGCATTGCAAGAGGGCACATGCACGTGATAGCTGTATGTGGTTCGTATCGGCTGACAAACCATAGCTTTGTGATCTGCAGTGCCAGATATCATGGTGAGTTCAAATTGTGTCATATGCGATCAATGAATGACATCATTGCAGCCTGCTCGGTTTCTTTGCCTTATAGGTTTCACGGACACTCACCTCAGCGGGACGCTGTGTGGCCAGCGGAGCCCGTCGTGGCCCGAGTGTTGTGCGGTCTGGGAAACCTCAAGGCCAAACAGGACAGTGACAGTGCGGCCGAGTGCGTGTTCCAGAATCGCAGATGTTGGCGGTGAGGTCCTGATTGCATTTTCCTGCCGCTTCCGGAGCCTTCAAAGGAGCACCCAGCCACTGGTTTGCAAGGAGCTGGTGCAAGACGTTTGTTCGCAAGCTTGATGGCATTTGGCAAGGCCGCACCGTGCCTGTGGCACATGCTCGGTTGCGATAACAGCTGAGGAGAGGGCGGCCCTGGCATCTGTGCTCAACCTCCTTGCAAAAGGTTCCTGCAAAGGTGGACGCACACTTCAAGGAGTATAGAGCTCAGCAAACAGAACTTGTTTGGCCTGGAACCGGAGCAGTTTATGTGACGGGATGCTTTTTGTGTCAGCACTGGTTCTTTCTGGCAAAGGAGCCATGTGACACCTCTGCCTATAGCATTCTCTGAGGGCATCCTGCTCTACAGCCCCGGGGCACTGTGCATCTCTTGCTTGGCCGCCTTTTGCGTGGCACTCAGGCACTTCGTGAAGTGGACGCGTGGAATTAGAGCAAGTTGTCCCTATGCGTCACCAGTCTGGGTGACCTAATGCGCAAAGCACAATAAAAAGATGAACAAGTGATTGGTACAGATGAGGAGCACAAGTTGTTGGGACTCACTTGTATGCAGTCAGGACCACAAACTACATGTTACATATGTATAGCAATGTTAATTGCTGGGCTTCAGGCTGAGCTTCCCAAACACGGACGCACGCATATATTAGTCTCATCGTCAGCAAAGCTGGCAGGGCAATGCAGGGCCAGTCTTTTTATTTTTCCAGCATTTACCATTGAGATCGCCGCACAGAATTTGCATTTCCACAAAGAGACCCATATCTTATGTGGTTTGAGGTCACTGCAAGCGCTTCTTTCCGCTGGTCCGCCAAGAGGCCTTGAAGTGCACACGCCTCACACCCTCACAGAATGATAGCGATGCATGCGAAGAAAGTCATTTGGCATGAGCGAAGTTGTGAACCACGAGCCGCACTTATTAAAGGTCAGGAACCGTGTTGTAAGATTTGTTCATCCTTAAACCTCGACTGCTCGCAAAAGCCATTGCACCATCGCAGATCTGCTGGGATCCTGGCCTTGAGTCGCATCGCTGGCGGGGCAGGGAAAGACCGAGATTGCAAACAAAAAGAGCCAATCATTGTGGCCAAGCATTAGTCAGATGTCAGACTGAGCATCGGACTGCATTGAGTTTTGTGAGCCCAGCTTATTCGTGATTGCTTTGGCCACTTTGACTGCTGTCGCCAGATGCAGGACATCACTGGCCACTTATCAGTCAAACCCTTGACTTGGCTCGGAGGGCCTCGGCATGCTTGAACAAGTTGCCACCTGTCAAGAGTTGTTCTGAACGCCAGCATACAGATGCCTGTAGCGATGAAATGGCCTGTACTCCGAATGCATTCTCGGAGCTTTTGCTCAAACAGGTATATCTATGGTGAATTAGTAGCCAGATTGCCTGGTGGTCGAGAGCTGGAGCTTGGCGTGCTGTCCTTGGCACTGCATTGCCAAAGCTTGGAGCGCACTTTAGAATCCACTACGAGCAATTTGCACTTATTTCAGTGAGCAATCATTTGGGCACCCATTTGTCAGCACGAAACAACACTGCGCTTTGGTGGCACTCCGAGGTGTGCTTATCACATGCTAAAGCGACAGCTCAACAGCAAAGCCCACGTGGGCCCGCACAACACTTAAGCAGGGTACACTGATGCCAGAGCAGCAAGCTAGATGTGCCATCCAACCCGATTTCCGGGTGCCGCTGTTTACTGCTAGTAGATGGCACATGATGGCACAACCCTACAAATGTTGTGCAAACCGATCTCAAATTCCCGAGCGACCTGCCAACGATTTGCGGAATCACATGATACGTGCGCTGTGTGTTTTGCTCAATCGTATGGATTATCAAAGGCAGCTTGACACAGAACTTCAGCGGTACTTGAACTAATCGAGTCTGCTTTCTGTGAGAATATATTTTGCACCTTGCGTAAAAAGGTAGGTTAGGGAACGGCTAGAGAACGCGAGAGCTGGGGAATAGCGGGGACACTGCGTGGCGTTGTGCATGAAGTCGGCTCGTCCGAATGTGCGCAAGCCACCTCGGTCGCGACGCCTGACGCAGGCGCTTTCGGAGCGCGCTCAGAGCGGGCGTGGAACGAGCGGCAGCACGAACCAAGCATCAAATGGTGAACCCCAAGCGGGCTTTGGTGGGGTCGACCCTCAGAAACTTGGTTGGTGTGTTTTGCGTATCTACTTAGCTGGCAGAACGCTCTGCGGACTTTCGGTGGGACCACCTTCAAACACTCGTGTTTTTTTTGACCACGGGCAAGCCCAAGCGCTGAGGAGCTCTATGCGGACTTTCTTGGGGACGACCAGGAAACTGGTCTGAAGATTTTATGTCGGAGGGCGCAACAACAACGGTCGACGAGCGCGCCGTCTCAGGCAGGCACGTTTCTGCTGGAAAAGGTGTTGGTTTCGAAAGGCTCTGACTGTTCAGCGCGCAGTGTCCCTACAACGGGCCACGTCGCTGCGTCTGCGCAGTTCTTAGAAAAGTACTTACTTTTGTGACCTGGGCGTGTAGCGCGCCTCGCGACTCACGACGCAACTCGCCACACGCCCGCTAGCGTGCCAAATGCGCGCACCAGGCAAGAGATATCTAGTTCCTGGCCGCAGACGAAGACGTCCAGCTGTTTCTTCGCCGCAGATGGCCTTGAACACGCAGCCCAACGATGCGCAAGCGCTTGAAAGCGGACGTCGTGGAGGTGTCTGAAGTGAAGGTGGCGCTGCACTCGCCCCGCTTTCGTGCTTGACGCGCAGGCCGTTTTTGGCCGCGTGTTCGTGTCGTCGCGTGGCGTTTCGGGCTGCGGGGAAAGAGGTGTGCCCCAAACCTTCGGCGGACTTTCCTGTGAGAGACAGAAACAGACAGGAAAAGAAAGCGCGAGGGCGAGAGAGAGAGGGAGAGAAAGAAAGAGACACTTAAATGGAAAGAGAGAGAGAGGGAGAGAAGGGAAAGAGCCGCGCTCCAAACTTTAGTTTGTACGTTTATGAAACTGTTTTGTTGCCTTGCCTTCCCGGCTTTGCAGGCTAATCCCTTCCCCTTACCCCCCCCCCCCGCCCTAATACTAAGTTGGTCCTCCGGGAAAAACCGGTTATAGCATTAGGGGGCCCTGTTCATTCTCAGAGAACCGTACTCCCAGAGCTCCAGCTTACAGCCATAGTAAAGGAAACGTACTCCCGGAGCTCCGGCTCGAAAGTAGTCGTAGCAAGGAAAACGTACTTTCGGAGGTCCGGCTCGAAAGTCGCAACTTTGTGGTACAACCATAGTAAGGAAACGTGCTCCTGGGGGGGGTACCCCTCATAGGACTGGATTTGACCCCGGCCTACTTTCGAATTGGTTTAGTATTGGCTATCCTAACAGTAGTATTCGCAGACTTGGGATTTTGAAAAGTCGGTTAAGAATGAGGGGTATGTTTAGCATTAGGGAGAAGGGATTACACTGGCACATATATCAACTGTACATATATATATATGTATGTAATGTATGTGTGTATGTAATGTAATGTAATGTAGTGTAATGTATTGTAATGTAATGTAATGTAATGTAATGTAATGTAATGATGTATGTGTGTATGATAATGTATGTATGTCTGTATAAGTGTAATGTAATGTAATGTAATGTAATGTAATGTAATGTAATGTAATGTAATGTAATGTAATGTAATGTAATGTAATGTAATGTGTATGTATGTATGTAGGTATGTATGTATGTATGTATGTATGTATGTATGTATGTATGTATGTATGTATGTATGATGTATGTAATGTATGTATGTATGTATGTATGTATGTATGTATGTATGTATGTATGTATGTATGTATGTATGTATGTATGTATGTATGTATGTATGTATGTATGTATGTATGTATGTATGTATGTATGTATGTATGTATGTATGTATGTAATGTAATGTATGTATGTATGTATGTATGTATGTATGTATGTATGTATGTATGTATGTATGTATGTCTGTATGTATGTATGTCATGTATGTATGTATGTTTGTATGTATGTATGTATGTATGTATGTATGTATGTATGTATGTATGTAATGTATGTATGTTTGTATGTAAGTATGTATGTAGTGTATGTATGTATGTATGTATGTATGTAATTTATGTATGTATGTAAGTATGTATGTAGTGTATGTATGTATGGGTAAATGTATGTATGTATGTATGCATGTATGTAATGTATGTAATGTATGTATGTATGCATGTATGTATGTATGTATGAATGTATTTATGTATTGAATGTATGTATGTATGTGTGTGTATGTATGTATGTATGTGTGTATGTATGTATGTATGAACTATTGTAATGCAATGTAATGTAATATAATACATTTACTGCAATGCAATGCAATGTAATGTAATGTAATGTATTCAATGTTTGTTTGTATGTATGTACTGTAATGTGATGTAATGAAATGAAATGTAATATAATGTATGTATGTATGAGTGTAATGTAATGTAAGGCAATGCAATGCAATGCAATGTAATGTAATGTGATGTATGCAATGTATGTATGAAATGTAATGTAACGTAATGTAATGTAATATACTATAATGTAGTGTAATGTAATGCAATGTAATGTAGTGCAGTGTAGTGTAGTGTAGAGTAGAGTAGTGTAATGTATTTGTGTATGTATGTGTGTAATGTAATGATGTAATGTAATGTAGTGTAATGTATGTATGCACATTTGCATGCATAATATGTGTGTATGTGTGTGTGGTTCATGTATGTGTGTAAGTATGTAACGTAATGTAATGTAATGTAATGTAATGCAATGCAATGCAATGCAATGCAATGCAATGCAATGCAATGCAATGCAATGCAATGCAATGCAATGCAATGCAGTGTAATGTATGTATCTAGGTACGTACGTACGTACGTACGTATGTATGTATGTACGTACGTACGTGTGTATGTGCGCATGAATGTATTAATGTAATGCATGTATGTATGTAATGCACGTATGTGTGTAATGCAATTTAAAATGTAATGTGATGTGATGTAACGCAATGCAATGCAATGTAATGTATTGTAATGCAGTGTAACGTAATGTATGTATGTACGCATGTATGTATGTACGTATGTGTGTGTGACTGTAATGCATGTATGTATGTAGTGTACGTACGTATGGAATGCAATGCAATGCAATGCAATGTAGTGTAAGTATGTGTGTAATGTACGTAATGCATGTATGTATGCATGTATGTATGTTTGTATGTATGTGTGTGTGTATGTGTGTATGTAATGTAATGTATGTATGCATTAATGTAATGTAATGTACTGTAATGTGTAACGTAATGCAATGCAATGTAATGTAATGTAACGCAATGCAATGCAATGCAATGCAATGCAATGCAATGCAATGCATGTATGTATGTATGTCATGTATGTATGTCATGTATGTATGTCATGTATGTCATGTATGTATATATGGAATGTAATGTAATGCAATGTAATTTAACGTAACGCAACGTAACTGAGCATGTGTGCTAGACATGGCTGGTTGGGCA